AAAGAAGCCTACCCAGCTTAAGCAATAAAGACAGTTTATTGGGAGGATCCCGGGGTGTGTCATGGGATTCCAGCCTCAGGGGGATGTGGGGACCACAGCAGCTGGCGGCCAGGGGCCTTCTTTCACCGGACCCCACCTTCATCTCCGCTCTCTGCTGCACACAGGCGCGCTCTCCTTCCCAGACCACGTGATGGAAACAGGCTCACCAAACGTCACCGAGTGTGTGTTACCCGTTCAGCCATTTTGAAGGAGGAGGCTCTCTATTTTCCCCAAATTGAAATTCCTGTGAAGGAACTAATTGATCCATGTGTTTCCTCCCAGACCAATCTGCTGTGGCCAGGGGATGGTATCATGCCAGCCTGACCACCCCACCATAACCTGCACTGGGGGTGAACAGCTCCCAAAAGAGGGCTGGTAAGCAGACAGTCAAGTAGAATCCACCCAAATAAGCATATGAACAAGGACAAAATAGACTGTAGAAAAAGCCAAGGCTCAGAATGGCTGTCTTAATGAAAAATGCCAACAGTGATGACAGCGACATCAACCGAGGATCAAACTATACGAATAAAGAAAAGATAGGGCCACTGCTGGAGAAAGACTGAAATGTCAGCAAATGTCAAAAAGAAAGTAAGCCTGGCCAGTGTGGCTCAGTGGTTGAGCGTCAACCCAAAAACCAAGGGGTCACCAGTTCGATTCCCGGTCAGGGCACAAGCCCAGGGTTCGGGCTCGATCCCCAGTAGGGGCTGTGCAGGAGGCAGCCAATCAATGATGTTTCTCTCTCATCGATGTTTCTCTCTCTCTATCCCTCTCCCTTCCTCTCTCCCTAAAAAATATCAATTAAAAAAGAAAGAAAGTAAGACTGAGAATTCCAAGTCCATCATTCTGGAGATCTCCTCAAAGTGGAAAGGATAAGACAGGCAAACGTAAGCCGACACCCACTGCCTTCTCTCACCTTAGTAAGTCACCTTTCAGATCGACTGCGGAACTGATGAAGGTTACAGTTGATGTTGATTTGAATCCCTTGCACCTGTACATCATCACGTGGCCTCATAATAAATCTAAAGTCAGTACTTGAGTCCAAAGAATCACATAATTCATGAACTGACTTCACAGCTGGTATGAGAAAAAAGATCTGTGGGTTATATTGTCCATAAACTTATTACAAGTTTCCAGTGATATGGCTGCCAAAGAACATCAAACATACTCTTTAAAAAATTATATATGTGTATAAGATAAATTATGTATACACACACAATTTCTACATTTAGAGGAGGTTATGAGTGAGTGTGTGTACACATATGAATAAAATCTGGGACAGCCCTAGCTGGTTTGGCTCAGTGGATAGAGCGTCGGCTTACAGACTGAAGGGTCCTGGGTTTGATTCCAATCAAGGGCATATACCTGGGTTGTGGGCTCAATCCCCAGTAGGGGGCATGCAGGAAGCAGCCGATCAATGATTCTCATCATTGTTTCTACCTCTCCCTCCCTCTCCATTCCTCTCTGAAATCAATAAAAATATATATATATATTTTTTTTAAATCTGGGACATATAGAAAACCCCAAAGAAGAAAGTAAAGTACTTGAGGCAGCACTAACTTCCAAGAGTGTTTTGGTGAATTCCCTCCCAGCTCTTTCTCAGCGCCCATGTGCAGTCGAAGATTCCTCTCCTGTGTAATCTAAGCCAATGCTACCCCAAGTCTGGTCTGCAGGCCGGCAGCATCACTGTGCCCTCGGAGCTTGCTGGAGGTACAACTTCTCTTCTTGGCCCAGGCCCAGACCTGCTGAATCAAGTGTCTTCAGGTGGGGACCAGCCATCTGAGTTTGCACAGCCTCTGGGTGGTTCAGACCCACAGGAAAATTTCAGGAGCACGAGGGTGTACCAGTGCTCCTCAAAATGTGATCTGCCAGCTGTTATCGGGCTGCAACAAGAAACACAAAAATTGAGAGGAAACATTTATGTTAAACTTAGAAATATTGATGTTAATTTCACATGCTGTGTGTGACATCCAACCATGGGATCCTTTTAAAAAATAGTACAGTGGGGCCTTGACTTACAAGTGTCCCGACTAACGAGTTTTTTGAGATACCAGCTGTCTCTTGGCCGATTTTTTGCATTGAGTTGATAGAGTAATTTGAGTTAACGAGCTCGGTCTCAGAACGAATTAAACTCGTAAGTCAAGGCCCCACTGTATTTAGTATTTTACAAAGTCACTCCACAGTCGACTTCTTAAAAGAAGGAGAAAGCGCCCTGGCCAGTGTGGCTTAGTTGGGTGAGCATCGTCCCATGAACCAAAAGGTGGCCAGGTTTGATTCCTGGTCAGGGCACATACGTGGGCTGTGGGTTAGATTCCTGATCTGGTGCATACAGGGGGGTGGGGGCTGGGGCAACCGATTGATGTTTCTCTCTCACACATTTATGTTTTTCTTTTTCCACCTTCCTCTCTCTAAAATCAATAAAAAATAAAAATAAATAAAAAATAAGAATCTGCAGGCCCACTAAAAAAAAACAAAACAAAAAAACAAAAAGGAGAAAGGAAATTCATGAAAGTTGGTGCCTATAGGGAAAGATGAAATGAGACTTTATTTTCTTTACTTAAAAATAATATAGAAATGCACAAGCAAAGAAAAATAGGTCCTAGACCACAGATGGTTTGAGAAGCACTGGGCATAGTGTATCTGAGTCTGTCTCTTCTGAGACAAAACTGCCTGTTTTCAGGGGGAACCTGCCACAACTGCAGCCACTTGTGAGGCCACCGCTAAACTGAGCACCTGCTGGTTTTGCTGGAGTGAGAGGTTTTGAGTTTGGTGTGGAGGGATGAGTAGGAGCCAGACTTTGGTCTTTAGAAACAGAGAGGGCCACTGTAGGTTGGTTTGTTCATTTGTTTCACTGTAGATTTATTAAAGCTGGGAAATGGCATGATCAGATTTGTGTTTTGAAATGAGTGGGCAAGACTGGGTGCAGGAAGGTATGTTGGGAAGCGGCTCAGTTGTCTAATCAATAGTAGACTGTAGCTTAGGGGGTGGTAGTGGTGGAGATGAGAAAGAGGTGAAAATCAAGATTTGTCTTTTGTCTTCACTTTTGTTAAAAGTGAAGTTTGAATACATGTATTAGGAGGTGAGGGTGAGAATGACCTCCTTCCAAGGTTTAGCTTTGTTTTCTGTATATCTTAGTATTCATGGTCTTCAAGATAACCAAGTTTCTGTGCTGTTTATTCAAATAAAGGATAGGCAAATGGTTGCCTCGCTTGCATTTGCTTTTGTCTCACAGTCAGCTCACTGTCAGCTCCATGCATTTTCCTTTGATGTTGCCTGAGACATGGAGAGCATGGTTCCATCTTATTTTACTATAAAAAAAACCTGGCTATTGGCCACTTTTACATCCTGAACCGCAGACCCTCAGAGCAAAATTTTAATTATATTTCCACAACATCAGGAAAATCTATCTGGCACTGGCTGGTGTGTTCAGTGGTTAGAGTGCCTCCCATGCACTGAAGGCTTATGGGTTCAATTTCTGGTTTAGGGCACATACCTGGGTTACAGGTTTGATCCCCAACCAGTCAGAGCTTGTGTAGGAGGCAACTAATAAATGTGTCTCTCTCACATTGGTGTTTCTCTCTCCCCCTCGCCCCTCCCTTCCTTCCACTCTATCTAAAAAAAAGAAGAAATGAAAAAAATATCCGTGGGTGAGGATTAATTTTTAAAAAAATCATTATTTAATAAGCTTTACTAAACTATGATTTTCCCAGAAATGCATAGGTACAAAATTTATGAATTAAAAAATAATATTATTATGTATGATATGTACCTGCATATGTGACTGCTAATTTTTGTTAGTTAAATTCCATTTGTATGTATTGAGGAAACCACTCAGTGCCTAGCATGGTATATGCAGTGATTCCCAGCTCTGGTCTTAACCGGCCAGTAATATTTCTTATAAAACTGGAGAGTCTAACCTAGGCTCACCTCCTTTTTATTTTATTAATTAAAAACCTAAAACCAAATTAAGAATTTTTATATTTACTGTCACTATACATTTTTTAAAAATCTCAGAAACAACACCAAAGGGTTAGAAGTAGCCAAGAAAAGATTCCATATTTTCTCCATTAGTTTTTAGGAACCAATTTTACTGGAGGCATAATTTACACATAATAAAATGCACACATAGTAAGTGAGGGGAAAACAGGAAGGACAGAGTCTTAGAAGACAGAACAATGATTGAAACCAGATTTAGTTTTTGAAAAATTCATCTATTTCCTTCATTTTTCTCTTTTTACCACGGATTGGTGAAAATCTCAGGGCTGGTCCGCAGGTACACTTGGGGAGCCATTCTAGGAGTGGCTGAGAAAGAGGAACTTGACCGAAAACGGTGTAGGGGAGAAAAATAACTTTTCCTCTACCCTTCTACATTCTAGCTGACACCCCCAAACATCACCATAATAAAGCATATTAACAGGTGAACAAATTTATTTACATATGTGCACAGGGGAGTCCCACAAGATGAGACTCCAAAGGCAGCCGATGATTGAGGCTAACATACCCTCCTGAGCTAAGGGTAGGACCAGGGGCCTGGGGCTGCAGGGTGGGGAAGGCAAGTCATGGGAGGGTGAGGAGAGGAAATGTTTGGCAAACAGTGGCTTCCCTGCCAAGTAGGACAGTCTCTCTGCTGAAAAAGGTCTCTCTGCAAATAGCTCTATTGCTGGTGCAGGCGGGCTTTCTAATGTAATGCTCCCTTACAAACGGGTAAATAATGCTCTGTTTTCAGAGCTTCTCCTATGTCTGCAATTTCTCAGAAATAATAAACATGCCAAAGAGGCATGTTTTGGGGTGGCAAATTCTGCCGCCCTCTGACCTAGGAAATGTAGAGCTAACCCTGAGGAGCCCTTGCTGGGGGCCCAGGAAGTGAAAGGTGAGGTCACGGTGGGGTGGGGAGGAGAATCATACTGTGTATTCGTTTATTCATTCATCACCTCTTACCAATCTTTTTCTTTTAAACTGTTTAGCCTATCAGCTTATCACCGTGGTGATTGCAGCAGCAGGAGGCGGGCTTCTGCTGATCCTGGGCATTGCACTGATTGTCACCTGCTGCCGGTGAGTGATGGAGTTCACACTCTAATTCTGTTTCTTTGCATGTCTATGCAAGGGCCAATTTTCACTCTTCTGGAATGTTCCGGGTGGTTTACAACATTAAATCGTAATATATGACTGAACCACTAAAAAAAAGCAGAAAGGGAAATTCATGATAGGTAGTGCCTTTGGAGGAAAGAAAAGACAGTCAATAGGACTTTATTTTCTTTCATGAAAAGGAATATCCAAAAGCACAAGCAACAAAAAAGATAGATTGGACTGCGTTAAAGTTAAAAACTTCTCTGCTAATGTATGGAACAAAATTTTTTCTCTACCCTTTTAGGTTCTTTGGTCTGATAATCAAATTAACGTAAGACAGTTTAATGGGATAAAAACACATTTAATTATGTATATAGGTGGTGGGTGGTGGCACATACAAAGAGGAGACCCACAGGCAGTCAGACAATTGAGGCTTATATTCCATCCTGAGCTAAGGGAAGGGCCTTCAAAGGGGAGGTAGGTGATTCACAGGAAGATGGATAAACCAACGTTCGCCATGCCATGCAGAGACAATGGGATGCAGAGACAGTGGGACGCAGAAGGGACTTGGGACAAACAGGCCCTGCTGAGCTCCCCCACAGCTTCCCACACCCAGCCCACACTCTTTGGAGTGATCTCTGGTGATAGCTCTCTTTCTGGACCAAGCCCTCCATCAAAATCCTTTTAGGCAGTTAAAGGGAGGTATAAAAGCTCTTCCTGAGTCTTTTGGGCCTTGACTGTCTTCAGCTCAAATTTGTCTGCAGGCCACAGTGGCATGTTCTGGGGAGACTTGTTCTGAAGCCCTTCAGCTTAAAAGATCACTATCAAGAAAGTGAAAGGACAAACCACAGAATGGGAGAGAGTATTTGCAAATAAATCATATGTGTAATAAGGGACTTGCATCTAGAATATATAAAGATGTCTTACAACTCAATAATAAAAAGACATTAAATCATAATGGACCATTTTAAAATGTCCTATTTTAACATGGAAAAGAACTTGAAAAGACATTTCTCCAGAGAAGATATACAAGTGTCCAGAAGGCACATGAAAGGATGTTCAGCATCATTAGCCACCAGGGAAATGCAATCAAAACCATCTTATACCCACTGTGATGGGTAATTTTTTTTTTTAAAGCCCTGGCTGGGTAGTTCAGTTGGTCAGAGTATTATTTTGATACGCCAAGGTTGCAAGTTCGACCCCTAATCAGGGAACATACAAGAACTAACCAGCGAATACATAACTAAGTGGAACACCTTTACCTCATGTGGTTGGGTAATCAAAACTGAGGGGTTGGAGAAAGGTACAAAGAAAACAATGCAAGGTCATCCTCAACCAGCACTTCTCTCTGAAGTCAATCAATCAGTAAAATATTTTTTAAACCCAGGAAATTACAAGTGTTGGTATGAGGATATGGAAAAACTAGAACACAAATACACTGCTGTAGAAATGTAAAATGATGCAGCCACTTTGAAAGTGTCTGGCCATTCCTCAGAAAGTTAAACACAGTGTTATCATTTGACCTAGTACTTCTACTCTTAGTTATATACCAAGAGAAATGAAAAGTTATGTCCACACAGAAACATGTACATGAATGTTCATAGTAGCATTATTCATAATAGCCAAGAGGTGAAAATAACCCCAGTATCCATCAACTGATGAATGGATAAGCAAAATGTGACATATCCATACAATTAAATATTATATATATATAT